TTTTTTTTTTCTTTTTTGTGACTCTCAGTGGCAATCGATTGATCAGTAAGTCTTACTGGGAACCCCCCCTGTGTTTGTGTGTGTGTGTAGCCAGCGTTATTACTACAGGGGTGTATTCACTCGTGCAGGATATATCTTCTACACAGACCACGGCAGTGTAAAATGGGGCTGGATCTGTAGGTTCTATAGGTATTAAGAAGGTATCTCGGATCCCTCAAGTTAGTACAGGGGTCTCCGGCCCCAGTCCAGTTAGTAGAGGGGTTTCCAAATCTGGTCCTGAGAGCCCCTTTCAAGGTGGTCACCTGCTTTTGAAGACTGGAAACATCTGTCATCTTATCGAATCAAGCAAGTCATCTGTTCAGTTAAGAGAACTCGTGTTCTTGACTGTTGAAGAGTATATGCTAGTCCTCCTTGATCTCTATTTAATACACCATTGCTGTACTTGACAGTTTAGATTGTTCCATATCTTTGGAAATGGTCTGTAGATCTTGCAGAGAAAACGCCAGCTGTTTCAGGAACAGCCATGTGGGAGCTCACGGGCAGTGTGACAGAGTCACACTGAAGTTTCCACAATGCCTTGAGCCCTTGATGTCGCTAGGCAAATAAAGAGACCATGTTGGTGTTGTATACAGGTGAAATCCAGTAAATGGGTTATGCCAGTGTAGGACATGAAATGTGAGTACAAGGTTGTAGGTCTCCTCACTCGGTCACACCAGATCACGATAGATCTTCAGTTTGCTTCTTCCACTAGGTTCCTTTGTGTTTTTATGTTGGAAGAAGCGGCTCCTGTTTTCTTTTTCATGTACTTCATTTCAACCACCCACCCACACCCATCCAGTTGTGTTTGTGTGTAGTAGTGTCTCCCACAGCGTTGTGTAATTCACGTGATGCCGAGACCGAGAGTTGTCAGGGGTGTCAAACATACAGCCCCCAGGTGAATCCGGCCCGTGGGGCGGCTGTGGTCAGACCCATCAGCCAGGATGCAGCGTGTGCCTTGTCTGAGCCCAAATAGCCCACACGTGAAACAGGCCCCCTTGGTGATGTCAGTCTCGTACAACGCATCCCCCTGCGGTTCCCTACCGCTGTGGCCCCGTCTGATGACATCACATGGCAACACCTCGTGTGTATAAATATGATGGGGAAGGCAATTGACCATCAAAAAGCGTCTGCCCTTCCGCCAATACCGGAGCAACTTCAATCACCTAATCGCCACTGGTAGCACTGAAGCCATACCTAGTGTTTTTTTAACGGTCTCAAAAGAGTTTTGAACATCACAAATAAAATTGTGTGGTTCAAGAAAAGCAGAAAAATCTCTCTCTAGAGGCAAATGTAAGGCTGACATGATTGATGTTTACATGAAGCTGTTGCCAAAGA